AGCGAGGGATGCTGTTATTGATACAGAATTTCCAGGCTCTTAACCTACCTCCAGCAGAAGGGTCAAGAAATCTGAACGAAAAAAAAAAAACAACTGCAAAAAAAGTTTCTTACAGATGAACGAAAACAATGAAGGGTTATATTTGCATTAAATTACATATATCGCAATCCCCAATTTTAAAACAGGGTAATTTTCACTGGGGAAAATATTTGGGGATTGATTGTAAAAAAAATGCCTCAAAAAGGCCTCAAAATTCGGATGATTTATTGGAAACTATACCTACATGACTGCTGGGAAGATATTAATCCAAATAGTGTATTCTGTCAATCCCAAATAAGTAATAGAAAAACAGGGATGCCTGACTATATATTACATTTTCTGAATGTTTTTTTTTATTTGTAATAATAATTTTTGTAATATTATTTAATTAACCTACGACGTCAATGCTCTTTATAATGTATAGTAAATATTTCATTAGGTTTTGGTAATCCATTTTTAACAAGGTTTATGGAATGTTTAATTTTTAAAAATAATGTATACTTCCTTGCTTGTGTGAAATTCTTTATTTGCGACTAGTTTCGGTTATACACCATCTTCAGGCAAAAATGTCAAGTTTTAAAATATGAGTTAAAATAATAATATATTACGAACATAGAAGTTATACAGTGCTTGCAAATCCAAGTCCGACCACACTGGAAAGGACGGCTGTTCAATACCCGCGTGAAAAGAACAAGGATAGAACGCCAAATAGAATTCGCTGTGGCTCCCGTCCCGAGGCGGGACTTAAGTTCAGTCCCGATTGACGTCATAATTTTAAGATTTGTTATGTTATAATAAAATAATAATAATAAATTGTACCTGTATACATGTTAAGGGCACTTTAGTTACGTCATAAAACCAAACCAACCCAAACTCAACAACACAACCCAACCGACCCCGCCCCATTGCCCCCCCCCCGCCCCATTGAGCAAAAAACCCAACTAAAATGGGCAAATTTATGTTACGATAAAAATAAAACACTTTTTAACAAAGAAACAACAAATTTATAAATTAAAAAAAATAAAAAAAGTTTGACTTCAAGTGGGATCGAACCCGGTACCTCTCGCATGCCAAGCGACCGCCCTACCATCTAAGCCATCGAGCTTGACACAAATTATAAAATCTCGGGGAATAAAAACCGATTTACAGTGTGTGACGTCAATCGGGACTGAACTTAAGTCCCGCCTCGGGACGGGAGCCACATCGAATAGAATTTGATAGCCAGCCGGCAGGCTACAACAACGCATACCCATCGCGCACCTCGCAGCGTGCTTGACACGAGGATATCAGAACGAGAACTGCAGTGGTGCCAGCAAGAGGTAGTAATTTTAGTAAAAAAGATTATTTAATTAAAAAATGTAGGTACACGTTGGAACAAAAAGTTCAGATTTTAATCTGGCATTTTGCTGGTAATTCTGAACGAGAAATTCAAAGATTATTTGCGGGAATGTTCGAGGCCAGACCAAACAGAGAAACAATTCGACGAACCGTTAATAATTGCTTGTTCGAACATTTAATTTAATTTTTCAGTTTATTTATTTTTAGAGTTTTATTAGACCAGGGTCGATAATTTTTGAAACCAAAAAAAATAACAGTAGGATGAAACCCATTGGAAAAGGAGAAGAATATAATAAAAATAAAAGGAAAAATAAATTACGGGCGATCTGACTTTGGGAAGTGGGAGGGGGGGTTTTAAGGGTAAAAAATGGTTTATCTCGATTTCCGGCAAAACTACAAGTCCTATGGAAAAAAGTTAAATGGCAAAGTTGTAGGTAATAAAAGGATCTACAACTTTTGTAATTACAATTTTTTTACATAACCTCAAAATTTATGGGAAAAATTCAAAAAACCAAGTTTTTGGTTTTTTATTTTTATCTTTTTCAAAAAAAATTTTTTTTCCACGAAATTTGGTGAAAAGTTACCTTTTTATGTTCCAAATACACTGTAATTTATTTGATTTGAAATATTTATTATTTCGCCTTATTTTGACTTAATATCAAAAAAGCACCCTAATTTTCAATCGAAAATTCTCGCGTCAAAATATCAGCTTTTTTCAAAAAGTCGGTGTGCTTTTTGTTTGTTGAAATCTCTACTTTCTGATGGTGTAAAAAAATATACATTACTATGGTAAATGTTCTCAGAAAATGCAAAAAATATTATAATGAATAACGAAAAAAACTCGAATTCGAAAATTTATTTTAATCATTATGTACAATTTCATCAAAAAAATGTGATTGTTGCAATTTTTTTTAGTTAAAAAGTTTATTTATTAAATTCTAATAACATTTATGTCAGAAAATCTCATAAAATATAAAAATACATGTAAATCATACTATTGAATTTAGATACTTCATTCTGATTACGTTATTCATTATAATATTTTTTGTATTTTCTGAGAACATTTACCATAGTAATGTATATTTTTTTTACACCATCAGAAAGTAGAGAGTTCATCGAACAAAAAGCACACCGACTTTTTGAAAAAAGCTGATATTTTGACGCGAGAATTTTCGATTGAAAATTAGGGTGCTTTTTTGATATTAAGTCAAAATAACGCGAAATAATAAATATTTCAAATCAAATAAATTACAGTGTATTTGGAACATAAAAAGGTAACTTTTCACCAAATTTCATGGAAAAAAAATTTTTTTGAAAAAGATAAACATAAAAAACCAAAAACTTGGTTTTTTGATTTTTTCACATAAATTTTGAGGTTTGTAAAAAAATTGTAATTACAAAAGTTGTAGATCTTTTTATTACCTACAACTTTGACATTTAACTTTTTTCCATAGGACTTGTAGTTTTGCCGGAAATCGAGATAAACCATTTTTTACCCTTAAAACCCCCCCTCCCACTTCCCAAAGTCAGATCGCCCGTAATTTATTTTTCCTTTTATTTTTATTATATTCTTCTCCTTTTCCAATGGGTTTCATCCTACTGTTATTTTTTTTGGTTTCAAAAATTATCGACCCTGGTCTAATAAAACTCTAAAAATAAATAAACTGAAAAATTAAATTAAATGTTCGAACAAGCAATTATTAACGGTTCGTCGAATTGTTTCTCTGTTTGGTCTGGCCTCGAACATTCCCGCAAATAATCTTTGAATTTCTCGTTCAGAATTACCAGCAAAATGCCAGATTAAAATCTGAACTTTTTGTTCCAACGTGTCCTACATTTTTTAATTAAATAATCTTTTTTACTAAAATTACTACCTCTTGCTGGCACCACTGCAGTTCTCGTTCTGATATCCTCGTGTCAAGCACGCTGCGAGGTGCGCGATGGGTATGCGTTGTCGTAGCCTGCCGGCTGGCCAATCAAATTCTATTTGGCGTTCTATCCTTGTTCTTTTCACTCGGGTATTGAACAGCCGTCCTTTCCAGTGTGGTCGGACTTGGATTTGCAAGCACTCTATACAATTTTTACACTTTATAAAAAAAAAAATTAAAAAATTTAGGTCGAAAAAATATACATGAATTAGGTACCTCTTCTTTCTTAAAATTGTTTATTTTCTCGTTTTCGCATTTACAAAATGTTTGAAACTCTTTAGCATACCGAAATTTTGATGTTTACATTTTTGGTTTCTTTAAGAATGTCTTCCGGTACTCCATCAATAATATTTCTCCCCAACTTCTTCCTCCATTTCCATTTTATACCTACTCAAAATGTGCTCGGATAAAAGTCTAATTTTAGTTTGACGTCTATTCTGACAATCAACAAACAAACTTAAGTTCGTAGAAAAAATATTTTTCTCCCTACACTTTGGTAAAGTTGAATTTTACTGTCTCCATAGGGGCGAGAAAGTAGTTGTTTCTACGGCTAGCCTTGTAAAAATAATCACAAATGCCTATGTGGTATTTTTTTTTACTTTTTTTAATAGAGGGCGCTGCAATATGTTCAATACAAATTTAAAAAATAAGATTGTTATGATTGTAATTAGTTATATAGTTGAAACAAAACCTTTTTTCTTTCTATAATAATTGGCATAATAAAATCTAAAATTTGCAAGTTATAAATTTAATTAATAATATTAAACTAGCACTAGTATAGATTTAAATTTAATAATTTTTTATGTCAAAATTTGCTTTTCACTTTATTTTTGTTACAGTCATGTGTAATAAAACAATAAAGTGTATATACCACGGCGGTAAAGTGATTTTTCCAGGCTTTAAGAAGTGTCCAGGCTCGCCTAAGCTCGCCTGTACATTTCTTCTAATAGCAGGGACGAAAGTTTAACATTTACTCCCTGTGCTATTAGGGACGAAAGTACGTACTTTCGACCGAGGTATACTTTCGTCCCTGCTATTAGGGACAAAAGTAAGTACTTTCAACAGATGTATGAAGAAAAATAGTATACACCACACGGGCCAAACTTTGAAATCTCGGTCTTGCGCGTCATGATGCCCTCGGCTTCACGGGCAGGGTCGAAAATTAAACTTTCGGCCCTTGTAGTGTAATATACTATTTTTGACTTAAAATTATCGAACGTAAAAGTAGAATTTGTATGGGAAAAGATTACCTGAGAAAGTATGGTTAAAACAACGATATTAGCAATACATTCAAACAATGTAAGGCCCCCACATAAAAATCTTTATTAAAACAACGGTTTTTGAAAGTGAACTTGTTTTTACATTCAAACAACGTTAGGTCTCAACATGAAAATCTACACGCAGACAAGGTTTTCTAAAAGTGGGACAACGTTATTTATTTAACACCTATTTCATTTCCTACCTTCAACCGGTGCACTGCGGTGGGCGAAATTCTACTTCGCCCACTAGGGGGCGAAATTGCACTAGTCGCACAATATACTATTTCTACCAGGGTGGAGTAAAATTAGAAAAAATATTGTATTTCCTATTTAGAAGGCTAATAACTCTTCGCTCTTGTATTGTAATTATTTTACAAAAATTTAAAAGATTAAAACAATCTTGACTTATAAAATATATTTTACTTTTAAATTTTAGTCTACAACAATTAATAATATACACATAGCGGCTTCATGGAGTGAATTGGGAAAAGTAAATCTATGGAATTTAACGGAACAATTACAAGCTGTTGACAATGATAATTTATTAAGCAAATATACAAAAGAAAACAAATCGAACACAGTAACTCCTTTGTATACATTTTCTGGTCATCAAAAGGAAGGTTTTGCTATCGATTGGAGTAGAACATCTGTTGGAGTAAGTTAAACTTGATTCTATTTTGCAAATTTTAAGTAATTTTAATCATTTAATAGGCAACTTATAATATATAATAACCCATAGTCACAAAAAGTGTTTAATTTGCGTGTCGAATGTTGACTTCAGAGACATTAAGAGTCGTGGGATTGTTGCTGTAAACTTGTGATTTGGTGTATCCCAATCCAACCCAACGTTTTTAAATCACATTGTTCCAGCGTCCAAGTTACAGAGCCATTTCTTGCTATTATTGACCCACGAAACTTTCCTATTATTTTTATTTAAAAAACTTAAATGTGAAAATGCAAATCACGTTGTCTGTGTTTTATTCAAATGTGCTTTGCACCAGGCACCGACAGACAGCCTGTTTCGGACCTTTAATCCTCATCAGTGCTGGGTAGCCATTAGGGGTGTCAATCCTGGGATCCTGGGACTTTTTAATGGCATTAATAATTAATTAACAATAATTAATTAATTACCGAATAATGCCGCACAACATATAATATTGTTGTCAATTTAGCCCTAAAGCGTTTATAAATATTCGTTTCTTTTACACATACTTTTGTTTAAACGTACCAAATAGTTGTAACACCGATAAAAATTAGACAGTGTTATCTTAACCACCTCATACATTCAAAATGCAAAATATGGTTCCAAAACTCACGTTTCACGGGTGGCTACGACGCGTCATTTTTTCGTTAGAATCCGTCGCGACGAAAATTGAAATGGCATACATTTGAACATTTATATTTTAAAAAAAATATTTTTTAAAATTTATTTTTGATCAAAGAAATAGAATCTACGTTAAATTTTGAGCTCCTTGTTCATTTTTTAATTGAATTATTATCTGAAATATCTCCTTTTGAAGTGCAAACCCCCTCTATTATACATCCTAATTTTGCACAATTTTGAACACCCCTTTTTAAATTTTGCACACCCGCTTTGGAAATGGCAAGAAAAAGCATGTGGGGGGGGCAAACTTGACGCTTGCCCCCCCTTTCCTCCGACAAACTTCGTCATCATAATCTCCTAATTTTGCACACTTTATTTCAAGTTTTGCACATCTCTCCATCCACCCCACGGCATCCCAAAAAAATACGCACTAGCCCCTCCACCGGCAAAAATCCACATTGTTTTTGTGCTATCCTGATCCTCCAATTTTGCACATCCCAATTTATAACTTTCAACGTCCCAAAAAAATTGAATATTAGACCTAACGTAGGAGTTGGTCATTTTACAGTTTGCGACATAATAATCGTAATCTATGATGACACCAAAACTAAAAGCGAGTCCTGTTCTGGTAAGCGAATGGTGAATTGTCAAAATTTGTTTTATACGTCCTAATATTAGTACTTGAATACTTGTTTTGTTTCCACATTATATTTATTTGTATTTCTCTGTTTTTATTGCACTAGTATTTTGATAAACAAAATAAAAGCTTGGCCTTTGAATACTTTTCCTTCTTTTAATTATGGTTTCCAAACTTGTGCAAATTTAGATGACAAGGTAGAATTTTGGCAGTGGCGAGGAGAGAGCTGGATAAAATTTTCGGAAACACAGTGGACGAGGTCGTTAATGTGGGGGTAGGCTAGATTTGAAAAAGGTGTAACATTTGAAATGGGGTGTGCAAAATTGAAGGATCAGGATTGCACAATTTTTGCCGGTGGGGGGGGGCTAGTGCGTATTTTTTTGGGATGCCGTAGGGGTGTATGTAGGGGTGTACAAATGTTGAAATAAGGTTTGCAAAATTAGAGGATCAGGATAGCACCAAAAAAGTGAATTTCTTCAGTTGGGTGTTCAAAGTACCATAATTTCGAAACTTAGGACTTCGCAAAACAAAAATATATGTGGTTTTTATTTGTAAGCACTAACAAAGGGTCAACAGCTGGCTGACTTGGCGTGGAATTAGCCACCTAAAATATTTTTTTCAGTACCAATTTTTTAATCAAACTAAGTGTGATGTACATTAAATAAAATAAGCCACTTCTTAATAAAATCGGTTAAAAAATGTGGTAAATTTTCTTTTCTGTTAAATCTGTGAAGAGACATTTTTATGACTCCTCGTAAAGTTACGTAGGGCATTTATATTGTATTTTAATGTCTTTCCCGAATTTCTTGGGGAATCTTTAACTTCGAATGCTTTGTTTGACTCTTGCAGAACCAGTATGTGGATGAAAGGCGCAAAACGTGTATATTTTATTCACTAGAAAACACAAAATACAAAAACAGTTTAAATATAATTACTTTTCACTGTCACTTTATCCTTTCCTTAACGCTTTTAATCCACTTACTCTGCCATCACGCAACTGACTTGTATAACCGACCGGTTCCAGAAGATTCTCGAGTTATCGATCGAGTTTCTCTATTGATCTTCTACAACTGCTCTTTCACTACTGATACTTCAATATTTTCAATAATTCTTAATTTATTAATTTATGCCTGGACCGTAACGATATTTTACTGCTGTTATTCACATATAGTTAAAAATGGTTCTGCAAAGCCATCTGTTAATTTTGTCAGAGTCACAAAAATGTACTATTCACAGATGTAACAGAATAAGATAATTGGTTGGTTCCTTTTTGACTAAATAATAATAATAATAATAATAAAAAAATCTTTATTTCCAATCAAATTAAAATTACATTCATACATGCGTATAAAATAATAACATGAAACGAAATAGAGTCATAATAAGATAATAAGATTATATGTATATATAACAAAAATTCTATAATAAAAACTCTCTTAAAGAATATGGTTCCAAAGTTATTAACATCTCTTTGACTTTGGATTTATATGTCGTAAGACTTACAATAGTTTTTAGATCGTTTGGTAACTTATTGTACAGTTTGAGACACATGTAACAGGGGCTCTTTTCTGTTAAGGTTAGCCTATGATTTGGGTAGTTTACATCTCTAGTCCGGGTATTGTATTGATGGTGAGTTTGTAATTCAAACATATTTTTATTTTTAAAAAAGAAAATTAGACATTCATATATATAAACTGTTAAAATGTTTGAGGTTTTAAATATACCTCTACAGCTTTCTTTAAAAGTCATGTTTTTTATTATCCTCAGTATTCTTTTTTGAGTTACAAATATTCTATCTATTAAGCTATTCCCTCCCCAGAAAATAATTCCATATTTAAAAACTGATTCAAAATTTGCATGGTACAAAATCTTTAAACTGGTGTCATTCATGTATTTGGAAATTACTCTAATACCATAACATATTGAATTAAGCCTCTGCACAGTTTGTATTATATGATTTGACCAATCCAAAAATTCGTCGATACTAACTCCAAGAAATTTGGTGTGATTTACAACTTTAACTTCAGTTTCATCAAGATTCACTATGTCTGGTCTTTCAAGTCTTGCTAACTTTGTTCTAAAAATTAAAGAAGTTGTTTTGTTTTTATTTATGATTAGCTTGTTTTCTATAAACCATTTACTAGCTCTACTAAAGAGAGAATCCCCTGCTGCTATTAAGCTATTAAGATTCTTGCAACTTGTAGTGAGGTTTGTGTCCTCGGCATAACATATTATTCCTTCTATTGGTGAAACTCTGATTGAACATAGGTCATTTAGAAAAATAACGAACAAAATTGGTCCCACTATACTTCCTTGAGCAATTCCCATATTACACTTGGCAAGATCCGAAAACCAGTTTTGACCTTCTTTCGATATTTTTACCTTTTGATCTCTATCTGTTACATATGATTCGAACAACTTTAAGGCATTTCCTCTAACACCATATAGCTCCAGCTTTCTCAATAATATTCTGTGGTCAATGCAATCATAGGCTTTGGATAAATCCAAGCACATGCCAAAAACAAGGTTTCCCTTTTCAATGTTGTTAAGGAGTGTTTTAATAAATTGAAAAATTGCAGTGTCAGTTGATTTGCCACGCAAATATCCATGTTGATGTTTGTTAAACAGATTACATTTATTCATATGTTCTATAAGTCTATGACACATTGCTAATTCAAATACTTTTGAAAAGGCTGGCAATAGACTTATTGGTCTGTAATTTTCAATTGAATTGTGGTCACCTTTTTTGAAAAGAGGTTTTACTAGAGACGTTTTTAATTGTTTAGGGAAGATGCCCTGTCTGAAAGAGTTGTTTATAATATAGCAAAGAATTTCTGTGATTACAGGTATAGTTTTTTTCATGATGCTTATTGGTAGTTCATCAACTCCACTACTATGCTTATTTTTTACAGATTTAGTAAGTTTACCTATTTCTGTTGGAGTCACTGGTCTTAAAAACATTGACTGGTTATTTGATTCAATATTTATAGTCGTTGGTGTTGGATGCTTTAACTCTTTCAAAAGACTGGGAACCACAGATAATAAATACTCATTGAAGTCGTTTGCTATTATTTCAGGATGTCCTTCAAGCTCGATGTCTGCATTTTTATTTGTTTCTCCGAATATTTCTCGGCATATGCTCCACATACACTTTGATTTATTGTCGGATGAAGTTAAACGTTTTTCATAGTTTTCTGACCTCACCGCCCTTAACAAATTGTCATATTCTTTTTTTGTATTTTTATATTGATCTTTATACCTATTATCTACTCTTGAAAGTGTTAGCAAAATATCTAATTTATTTTTGCAGAATTTAATTTGTTGATTATCTATATTTTTATATTTTCTTGAGGTTTGCGTAATTGACCTGGTAGGAAAGCAATGATTAAAAGTTGCAGTAAAAATATTTACAAAGGTATTCCATTGACTATTAACCTCTTTTTTGTTTATCTTGTATATTTCAAACCAGTCCTCCCCTTTCATTAAATCCAAAAATATTGGTTTATTTTCATCTGAAAAAATCCTCCTTTGTTGTATAATATTTTTGGCTAGTTTTATATTTTTTGTGCGCTGTGGTCAGAGATAAACGTGTTTAAAACATTTGTCTCTACATAATCTATGTTTATGAAGATATTGTCTATACATGAGGCTGAATTGTGAGAGATTCTGGTGTTTTTAAAAATTGATTGTTTTA